GTAACCTTTCTGTTTCCAGTATTTCCCATTCTCTATTCATCTGTTATACTCCATATGTGGCAGCTAGCATATGCTGCCACATTTATCTCAAAGTTTTTCCCCTTTTCAATTCTACATCGACAGAAATTTAGTAAGGAAAAAACCCAGGAAGTTACAACTCTTATGTGAAACATCTAATAAACCAGTCTCTTAATTTATATTACTGCACTTGTAGGTACTCAAGTCTGTGTAAAGATTTTAATTTCAGAATATTCTTAATATTTATTAAAGTTGTTTTTTTCTTCACGTTGCAAACAACTAAGTTTTGCCTCAAGAAGAGAATCTTTAAAACCCTGAGTAAAAAAAAATGGAATCACTAATTTACTAGAAGACTGCTCAGGATGACAATGCATACTTCTCCAATGAAAAAGGCAAATAATTTTAAAGAACACTTAGAATCAAAGTTAGCTATGAATCTTTTAAGTTCTTCAGCAAAGATACCTGCTTCCAAAGGTTTATTTTTTGACATTTATTGTCCTGACTCATATGCCTAAGTAAAAAAAATGCTCCCTTCCCTAGAGCTGAGACTGTCTGGTAAAATAAGTCTCAAAATGGATTTACACAAGGCTCTGTTCAGTTTAGCATACAATCTGAAGCTCTGTAAGGTCATTTCATGATCTGCCTGGATTGCTCTGTGTGGTGACAGCAGAAATGTAGAGATTAGTGGGATTCTCAAGTTCAGTCAGCACTTCCCAGGAGCCCTTTAATGAATTGCCATGGATCACCACAGGTAAGCCTGTTCTCAGCACAGCCCATCTCAGCCTGGATGAGGGATCACCCTTGACTGCAGCTTCTGACCCAGGTGATACAACCTAGAAATTGCCTTACTGACCCTGTGCAATCTGAGTCTGGGGCTCATAACTCCTGCAGACATGAAAGATCTTTTCTCAATGGTCCACTGTCATTTCATCACAAGGAAGTCTGCCAAAGGGTAATGGAAGACTCTTATTTCACTGGCAGAGAGGGGTTTGTAAGTGCCTGCTGCAGTTCCGTAAACATGACTTGGCACAAGCATCCTCTTCTTTGGCTTTGCCCTCCAGAATGACCCTGATCTAGATATTATCCATGAAAATGAAGATATAAGAGACAACATGATTTGTAGTAGTTTTGAGCTGAGGGTGACTGTTTGTAATTAGTTTTTTAAAAAAGAAAAGTATTTGCTTTTCCTGAGAGGATGCTTTTCTCTCCCATACAGGCTGGACAGTCCCAGAGCAGTGGTAGGAAGAAAAGACTTTTACCTCTGGGCCTGTCCCATCATGAGGATCCCTTACATTTGTTTTGCAAACAAAAATGAGCTGGAAGTGTAGGTTTGGGTCTTTCTTTATTTTATTTTGACACTAGCAGAACATGACCATGAGGAAAGAAGACAAACTTGTCTCAACCAGAGCTTCAGCTGCCATCTCTTGGAGAGAGAAGAGATGCCAAAAGGATTCCATAACAAAATTCAAATTATGTGTTCATTGCTTTTCCCAGCAGGAGGAAACAGCAGTGACACACACTGGGGCTCTCAGCTGTGAAATCAGCCTCCCTCTTAAAAAGGTTTTTCCTGCAGAAAAAGGCAGCACCCTAATGGTAAGGCTTTTACTTCAGATTATTAATTGAAAATGTATATATACCTGAAAAGTACACCAGTAGAAACAGATTTCCTTTGCTGGGTAAGGTTGAGTAAAGTCTTACAGAACCTCAGCCTCTTTGAATATATTGGCCCGTGTAAAAATGAGTTGAGAGTCCACTATGAACTACAAAAACTGATGCAGTATTGGACAAAATTCTACCCTGATAGACACAAGACGTTGTCCTTCCTAAGAGAAAGAAAGAGGGTGGTGCTGATTTAAATGAAGAGCATATGATATACAAAGACCACAATCTCCTGGAAATAAGAGATGCATTATTTTACTTATAGAAAATTTTCCTGAAGAGTGTCATGACTGCTACTTAGCCCAGACATGGAAGCAATGTGACAACCAGTTTTCTCATTATTTTCCTACTGAGAGGCTTGCTTAGAACAACTTGGAGGTGGAACAGATTGTAAACCATGTCCCAGCACCAGGTTTGGCTTGTTCAAGATGCTTTTGTTTTCTAATTAAGCTTTACCGTCTACCCCAGAAATAATTCAACAAAGCAACCTTAAAGCTCCCAGGTGCAAGCCACCAACAATGTGGGATATCTGACACATCAGGGACATGATCCAGAGCAGAACTTCAGCTGGCCAGAGCTCAGTGCAGTTATGACTAAGGGAAGGTTTCTAGGTTGCAGTTAGAAAATATGAGAAACTTACATCAGTCACTGGAATGAGGGAATGTGTCTACTTTTTATTCTTATTTATTTAGCTGAAGTACAGCTTTTCCTTTGGGCTGTGCTCAGCCCTGCCTTTGCCATGCCAAAATGAGATGATTACAGAGCAAGCTGCTGAAGACTCTGCCTTCCAGCCATTCTGACCGAAACAAACTAACAGAGAACACAGACCCACTGCAAAATGGCAATATTTTAAGAGATTCCTACAGCAGCAAGGTTGGAGTCTTCTCTGAAGCAAAACCCACAGCCCTGCTCCTCTTCCAAGTACTGTGAATCCATCCTGGTGTCTGAGCTTGCACACAATGCCTTTCTTCTGCTAATTTCTAAATTAGCCATCACATAAAAAAAAATGCTAAAGAATGAGAATGGTAAAGGTTTAAGATCACATTGTGGTATTTCCAAAATTAACACTATGCTCCTACCCTGGGGCACAGAAAGCATCCACATCACGCTGTTAAAGAAGGAACTAAACCTTACTAGCCCATGGGCAACTGAATCAGGCACATGGCATGCAGTGGGCAATGTTCCTGTTTGATCTCCTCTTGTCACTGACCCAGCAGCCTCAGAGAGTATAAGGAGTTGGAATAAACTGGCACTATTACTTCACACCATGAAATATTGAAAATTGGAAGACAAGAGAAGAGAGGAGAAAATGTGCTTTGAGCAGCTTTATCACTTTGCAAAGTCTGCTGATGATTTTACAAGTTGCCAGATGGGCATCAAGGCCACATCAAGCAGATTCAGCTTAGCAAGTGACATTTGGGCTGCTAACACTGAAACAGCAAGCACACAGACATCAGTTTTGCCTGTCTTCGGATTCATCAGATCAATGCCACTGCTTTCTCAATGAGATTAACTTCCAGGTGAAGCACCAATTTAATAAATCAAGTCTGGTTAATCTTAATATTGTTTCAACAGGTTGGTAGAACTAAACAGAACAAAACTGGGGAAAAGCCTTGTTTTGAAATGAGTTCTTTTTAATTATATGTCACTGAAAATAATTACACAGATTTTGAAGAATATTCAGTGAATTTCAGGCTCAGGAAAATGGTCCTCTTGTGGTGATCTAAAACAAACACTGTTTTTACTTCTCCAATTTCTCTCCTGTAACCAGATTTACTTTGACTATCACTCCAAATCTCATTTCTTTTACTGTAGTGTTCAATACCAATACAAAGATAACTAATTACAGTGGCCTTACTATCCAATGAAAGTCATAATCCAGTCATACAGGGAGATACTGATGCACCTCTATCTGAAGATGCAGCTTAACCTTCTCTCACTCTACAAAATTCTGCTAATGCTCATCAGCTTTCTTTGTCCTCCCAGTCCCAGGTTTACTCAGCTGGGGAATGATGGTTATTTCCCAACAAAATGACAACCTGGGCCCTTGGCTACCTTCATACCTTATCCAGTTACTTCAGATTTACTATTCATTTAATACAGATTTAAATTACCTATTTTCTGTCACGCTTTACCACAACAAAAAAAAAAAAAAAAACAAAAAAACAGTACGTAAACACCTTAACTTAAAAAAAAAAACAAAAAAACAAAAAAAACCACAACCCGCTAGGACATAGAATAATGTACATTCCCTGATTGTGGGATAAACCAGCTACTTAAAACTGTGTGCACTTGTATGTTTATGAAAAAACTATAAACTTTCTCTTTCTACTGGGCCATAGCATACTTTTTTTTTTTTAAATGACCACAGTCCATGGAAAAAATTTTGTCTGTCTATTAGCATTTTATCTTGCATAAATGTATGTTTCAGCAGTTATGAAAATGAGACTGTTATCAGTTGATTACTCTATGTGAACAAATGCTGTGAAAGCTTCCCTTAAATAGTTCTGTCAATGCAATGTCAATTTTAGAAGCAACACCACTGCTGTTCCAGGACATGATCCTGCAAACTCTTACTCACATAGGGAGTCCTGATGATTTCCATAGAACATTTACATTTATAAGGCTCTGAAAGATCAGGTCCTTAGTCGCAGAGCTCTGCTTAACAGTGACTGACAAATATACAACAAAGTTTTTAGCAGTGCTGAGCGCTGTTCTTTAGGGCAATGACATTTACACCCAGCAGTATTCACTTGGGCAGCACATACATTTTCTTTTAGAAGTTACACGAAGCATATTAAATACACCTAAGAAACCATGACATGAGCTAAAGCGTAAAGATGAGAAACGCCATGTGAAACGCCATATGAAACCAAGCTTGCGGTATGAGGCAGAACTTTGAAAAATGAATCCGCCGAGAAGACAGGCTGAGCTCGAAACACAGAACTGCTCAGCTGTGCCACGATAAACCCAGCACCATCCAGCATCCTCCCCTTTGTTAGCGGCATCTCCATCAGCGGGGTCCGCCGGGATGAAGGTGCGAGCGCTCGGAGGGAGCGGCCGGGCACGGGCGGTGCTGAAGGACAGCGCAGCGCTCCCCAAAACGCCGCTCGCCCTCCCCGGCACCGGCAGCGGGCAGAGGGCTCGGTGCCGCTCCCCGGGGCTGCCGCCGCTTTCGGCGGGATGCGGGAGGCAGAGGCGGCGCATCCCGCCCCGGGCTGCTCCCGCGGGGCACAAAGCGGAGCGGGCACACAAAGGCGGCGCGGAGGATGCTCGGGGCCCGCGGGAGGGGGTGCGTAGCCCTCCCCTTCCCTGGCACTTACCTTCAGCAACACAAAGAGCCAGAGGAGACAAGAGCGGGCCCCCGGGGCCCCCCGCCGGCGGCGGTCGGGCATCGGGGAGGACGGCGGCGGCCTCGGCCTGCGGGGGCGGCTGGGCAGGGGCGCCTGCTGCTCCTGTGCCCCCGGGACCCCCGGCTCTGCCCCCCGCCTCCCTCCGCTCGGCTCCGAGCCGTGCCCGGCAATGGCGAATTGCGGCAGCATCAGGCGGCCGGCAGCGGCGCCGGCCTCCCCTCGGAGCGGCGCATCCTGCTGCCCCCCGCCCCTTTTATTTGGGGTTTGCGGCGGGGAGAGGACGGGAGGAGGAGGAGGAGGAGGAGGAGGAGGAGGAGGAGGAGGAGGAGAAGGAAGAGGAGGCGACGGCGGGTGCTGTCTCCCCTCCCAGGAGTTTGGGCGATCGGGAGTGGCAGCAGCCCCCGGCGGAAGGCGAGGGCTGGGAGGTGGGAGATGGAGCCGGGAGCCGCCCTCGGGCCCGCACCGCCCTGCCCCCGGACCCCTTTGTCACAGCAGCTGCTCCCCGCTGGGAGGAAGCACAAAAAGCCATCCTGACCGCCGCTCACCCACCAGCCCTTCCCCAGCTACTGCTTTCCTGCCGCGATCGGGGCACAGAGATGCCGCCAGCATCCGCGGGTGTCTGGTGGGGCAGGGCAAGGAGCGGCCGGAGCGGCACTGGGAGGAGGCTGCAGGAGCTACAGCTGCAGGAGCTAGTACCCACAAAGTCCCTGTGGCTGTGCTCGTCTGGACAGCTCTTCAAATGTTCAAGGTACAGGGCTGAACCTGCAAGGGATGGAGACTGGAGACCGCATTCTGTCCCACAAGATACTCGGGGATACCAGGGATGCGAGGGGTACTGAGAGAACTCAGGTCACCTCCCCTGTTCTGTCTTCCCCCCACATCCCACCCAGCGAGCCTGCAGATTAATCAAAGCCATCTCCAAACACTCTTAGCAAGAGTCTTGCTTAAGATGATTTTCTCTGAGAAAAAAAAAAAAAAAAAAAAAAAAAAAAAAAAAAAAAAAAAAAAAAAAAAAAAAAAAAAAAAAAAAAAAAAAAAAAACCACACTTTGAGGAGCCAAAACAAAATCCCAAAGGACTTAAAGACCTTCCCCATTCAACCACCACGATGAAAACAGTCTTTCCAAAGTGAGAAACTGTGGGAACTCAAAATGTCTCTCAGACATTTTTAGAGGTTCCAGGCCTTGGTCAGAGGCATTCTAGACCCTGGCAGACAGCTGAAAAACAGCTGTGATTTTGAGTCATGGAATGAGTTACCAACTTTGGAGGTGGAACAAGCAGTCACAAAAGGTTAGATAGTATAGTAAAAGTAATTACAAAGTAGAGGGGAAATTTTTTTAGTATTGTACAGGGGGCTTTTAGCACATGTACAAGGGGGTTTTTACTTTGTACATGGGGGTCAGAAGTTCTAAGATGGAGGAAAGTGGGCTGATCCTGTTCTTCCTCCTTCTTCTTCCTTACCTCCATGTTCTTGGTGATGTTGGCACTCACAGATTGGTTTAGAGTAGAAAAGCACTTTGTAATATAGATAGTAGGTATTGGGGGAAAACTATAAACATGTAATACGTAATATATCATATAAAAGATAGCAGCAGCCCTGGGTGGGGAGAGAGAAGAAGAAGACAGCAGATAGAGAGGATGTCAGGGTGTGTGTGTGCCTCTGCCCAGGCCGCTGACCAAAAAGCCACAGCCCAAGAACATAATCTGTTAGATAACTAGCAATAAATCATCTTGAGACGGAACAACAAGAGACTGCGGAGTTTTTCTTTGGAAGCACAGGTTGGAGGAGGAATTTCACCACCATATGAGACCCCAGAGCAAGGCTGGGGTTCTCACAAGAAACTACCTCAGAATCCCTTTTGTCACAAACCACACTCTCACTCACACCAGTATAAATTAGGATGTATCTTTGGTAACACTACCAGAGCTATAACAAAAACAAAATATAATTGCCAGTGTAATAAACAGCTGTGTCTGTTCAGAGCAACTTTGGGTCTAGGTGTACTGCCATTACTTAGAGTAATGGGTCACTCACTCTTCCTTCAAAAAATAAAGTAGTGGCTAAAAGTAGATCCTGGGATGGTTTTCAGATTTTCTAAATCATTTAGGCAAGATGAACTCTATCACAGTCTCATGGGAACGTCCTTTAAATCAAACAATTACAAAGCTTTTTTCTAACAGCACTGCTAAATTGGACAATAATGAATCTGTGTTTCAGAGACCTGCCCAGCTTATACATGGCATATTTTTGATTTTCTTATAATTTGGACACTCAGTCAACAAAAGCTTGATTTCAAAGTGGCCAAAGCCAGAGAGGGATGTGCTGAAATGGGCCCTTGAGCAAAGATTTGCAATACTTGATGGGGATTAATCCAGAAAGCGAAAGAGAAATACGGGTCCTGTGTAGACATTGGCACAAAGCCTAAATATAGAAATCCAAAAGGCAAATGTTATCCACATGTTCATTTATAAGAAGCTGTGGGCATTAAAGATGTACTCAATGCTATCAGTGAAGGACACAGACTTCTCTTGGGTATTCACTACTCTGTTAGTGTTTGAGGCATTATCTGAAACTGGTATACAAGGGGTTAATCATAGCTAAATTTCCTTCAGTATTCATGTTTAGGATGAAGAGAGGTTATCTGAAAGACAAAGATGTGAATTTCTTTAGGAAACCAAAATTTTGCCAGTATTTGAAAGCTGCAGATGGAACTTTAGGCTGGGAACCTCTTGTTTATTAAGTAAATTGAACTTAAATTATTTTTGTCCTTAGGACTGTATTTTATGCTTCTTTCTTCTCCAGTATTTACAAACATTTAGACATTAAAATGATGATGGCATAAGCAAGGCTAAAGATCAAAGATATTTAAAAGGAAAAACAAAAAGTAGAAAATTCTAGTAGCATTTTAGCCTCAGGACAACACTATTGGAATCAAAGAGAGTGAAAAATAGCTAAAAGAACTGAGAAACATTTCTGCAATGAAACCTTCAATAAAGTAGCAAGATAATAAAGTTTTCTGATCTGGCTGTTGAAGCTGAGGAAAATGCAGCCAAGAGAACTCAAGGATTGCATCCTCTTTAAGTTATGGGGGTATAAGATTACTCAACTTTTTCAAAAAGGGACAGTGCTTTGGAAGATTCCAGTTTGTAAATAGAACCTAATTCTTCAGGAAAAAAATACAGAGCAGAGGGAAAAATAAGATCTATAAAAACAGAGTCGCCCTTATTTGTTTCTAGAATCTAAACAATAAAAGCAGCCAGTCTATTAATACACCAACAAAGCTTTAAAAATGGAGACAATGAGATAACTTTTTTGTACTCAGGGAAGAAGAAACAGGATAATTTGTGAAGTTAGTAAAAGATACTGATGCTCTTTAACCCTCTCCATGGGCCCAGGGGGAAAGGAAGTGTTCAGCAGGATACCTCACCAACTGGAATTTCATTTATTTGGATGAAAAACACACAAGCATTTGACAAAAATTTTAAAAATAAAAATAAATCAGGAAAGATGGGGAACATTTGTTCTGGCGTCAAACATGTTTTTTTCTGAATCAGATATTGGGATTTTGGTGATTTGAACTAAATTCCCCCCCCCCCTCCCCCCCTTCCCCTTTTCTTTACATTTCAGAAACCTGAAGAAACCCTTCTTGTCAGAAGGGTTCTGACCCTTCTACCTTCAGGGAAGAAGCTGGAACACATTCCCAGTTACTAAGGCAGCCCTGTACAAGTGAAAGCCCTGACCTTTGCACTTGTGCAGCTCCTGCAATGCAGAGCAAGCTCGCTGGCCACAGAGTCCTTCAGTCCATGTCAGACTTCCCTTCACTCACATAAATCTGACACTTGTGGAGCTCTGCCACCTTTCCCCAGAACTCATCAAACATCCTTTGGGGCATTGCAAACTATCCACAAGGATTATGGAAGCCCAACTCCTCCACTACAGCATGGATTCATAACAGGACCATGTTGCATTACAAACATCTCTCATTTATCCTTCGGGATCTCTTCCAATTGAAAGACATCCTAATTTTTCTTGGTCTGTGACAAACTCTGGGCTGCAGTGGGCACCTGTCAGAGCAGCCTTAAGGGACTTTGGTTCTCTCTGAATGCAGCTGGCAGAATCACAGTGAAGCAGAGAACTTAGAGCCTGATTGAGAGGTGCATAATGTGGTGTTTTGATACAGGGTCCTGTCTCTACTCACTAGATTTACTGGAAAAGCTGGGCAGGAATTATTTATTCTGATGATGATTATAATTATTGTTTATTCTGATGTGCAGTATGCAGGAACATGATAAAGTATTTCAAGGCATTACAGGACACAGCCCTAGAAGACAAAAATGGTTTAAAGAAAATCCTCTCACATTTTGAGAGGAGGACTCCACATCAAACACACAGTTTCAAAAACTTCTCAGGTCACTCATCACCCCCTTGAAGGCTGTATTAGTTACAGTGCTAGAGCTTTACCTTTATTTAACAGCCTGATTAATTAAAACACTGGTGTTTGCTTTAATCAGCTATTTAATGCAACATCCTAACTAAACCAGTGTTAATTACCATATACCACCCTAGATTATCAAAGAAAAACAGGAATCAAATGTTTCATGGTTTCAAATGTTTGCATGAATGTTCCTGCTGGTACCTTACACAGATTTGATTTAAGATTTATGGCAAATTCTTCCCTTTTCATCCCTGAAAACCCCAGAGCAATATTCTGTCAGATATACCAACTTTGCCTAGCCTACAGAAAAAAAAAAGCTGTAAATTAGCCTTTACTCCTAGTTGTAGTATAAACCCAGAATTATATGAAGGTTTACAGGCCTCAGCAAGTCTGGATAAGCATGACATGAAAAGAGGTTTATAAAAAAACTCACTCTAAGTAAAAGTCATCCTGGTCCAAGAAGTTTTGGAAGCAAAGTTATTCTTCAGTGACAAATGTCCTACGAAAATAAAGTGCAGATCCTTCTTAAATGTCTTCTCACCTAAAGTCATTTCATTTCAATGACAGCAGTGGATAAAACAATAACAAAAACAAGTGCAAAGGGTGGCTAGAATAATGTACATGGGTTGGCACTTATATGTTCAAGTGCAAATTTATCTTAGATTTCAGTTTGATAAGTATGGGCCCTGTGACTTCTAAAAGTGTGCCCCCCTAACAAACAAGCTGTCAGTTTTTTTAAAAATCTGTCTTTTCCTAACAAGAATGATTGACACACTTCAGATGTGCAACCTGATCAACTTCCA